CTTCATCAATCTGCCTGTTCTGTTCCCCACTCTGTCTCTGGTGAAGCCTCTCACTGCCCCTGAGCCTCTGGCCTGTACCCCAGTTCTGTATGCGCAAATAAATAAATCTTTTTTAAAAAATTTTAAAAACAGGTGGCAGAACATCAGTCCACAAAATAACTTAATAAACTAACCCTTAAGCTGGATTAATTATTTTTAATATAGGACTATATGGAAAGGACTTAGAAGTCCAGAGCAATTTCAACCCCAGCAAAAACAAACCTATCACCAAGCACACGCTGCAGAGTTGCTGACACGTCAACGTGTTCAGCCACTTGGAATTAAAGAGCAGCACCGTTAGACTGAAGCAGCAGAGCTTTCGTTGTTTTATTTTCTATGATCAAGGGCTACTTAAAAAGCTGAAAAGATAGAAAAAACATTTAATGTTGACAAACATCACTTTACTAAGCTAAGATTAATCAGCGTCCTCCAACACTTGCCAAGTTTCCATCTCAAAGGCTTTGCTTAATTTTTCTCTGTCATTGAGTCTGACGTAAGCTCAGACCCAAAGAGTGAAGCTGAACAAAACATTGTGTTCCCAGGGAACTTGAAGGTGTGTTCAAGTCTCTCTGTGTATCACAGTAGGGCCTGCGGAGACTGCACAAGACACTACATTGAAAAATACCCACTTTTCATTACTATGGGAAGCCATTTGACTTAATTAACTAACCTGTTTTGTTTTTTTTTCATTCCTACCTCCTCCAAGAAGAAAAAGGTTACTAAACCCACTAGCGTTTCCTCATCCACTATTCCTGTGTGAGTTCTGAAATTTTCTTGTCTTTGAAAATTGTTTAACGTCTTATTTTTTGGAGGCTGAGGGTGATAAGGAGAAGCTCTGGGCTACTACTTAAATGGAAAAGGCCAGAAATGTGCGTTTCCAATTGACTGTTGCTTTAACCTACCACCTCTGTTTTCCTGGCTCTAAGTGCACATGTCTTCGAGTATATAACTAATCCTGACTCAATGCTGGAAAGGACAGAGCCTGAATCCAGAAAGGTCCATGAAACTGCACACATGCCTAAAGCGAAGAATCATCAATCAGCGTGATGGACTCTGCCCAGGTGGAGTGCCATCAAGAACAATTGGTGATGGGGAGGGTGAGAGATTTATATGGCAATTCCATTGAATGGTTTATAATCTGGGGGACCAGAAAGAGGGCACTCGCTTCCATTCAGAAAAGGAAAGGCAAGAGATAAAAACAACAGTCTACTAAATTATACTGTTCTTATGGACTGCTATAAAATATTAAATGCACATACTTCTCAAATAATTAATCATTAATGTCAAAAATATTACTAGTAGCAAATTATAGAACATTTTAAAGTTAGTGTCTAATCAAAGATGTTCTAACCTGCCAGCTCTGGTTAGGCTGCACTTCGTATCACCTGTCTTTCAGTTCAACAATTTATTGAACATCTACAGTATGCCTAAACAGGCCAGGTACTGAAGATCTAGGTAAATTACCTGTCAGAGACAAGTGGGCTCTGATCATTAGACGCTTATAGTGAGGTTGGGAAGAAGATACTGCACATGTAATTTTAACATAGGGTGTGGGGGTAAGGTGGTAAAAGGATACCCAAGCTGCTGTTGGAGCAAAAAGAGGGGACATGACTGAGTTCAGGGATAGTTTCCAAGAGAAAATTATGCCCCAAATGAGCTGTATAGGAGGAGAGGTATTTTACCAGGGAAGGAACATTCCAGAAGGAAGAGGAGGTACCTAAAGCAGAGAGGTATGAAGCAGAGGGATGGACACTGCCCAGGGCGGAGGTGGCATTTGTGGAGACTAAATGAGAGATGGGAAAGAGACACTGGCACACACAAAACTTCCATGTACTGTTCTGGTCTATAGGTGGCCAGATGCTACTGCAGTGTCCTTTTTAGAGAAATGACCCAGTCAGATCCTGGTTGCAGAGTCACTGCTCCGGCAACTTCAGGTGCAAGATGGAAGCTCAGAAGGAGAGAAAAGAGGAGGCCAGGGGTGACTTCTCATAACTGGGATACTCCAGAGTCACTATCAGAAAGGCAGCTAACATGAAATCCAGGGGAGACCTGGAATGCCATAGAATTGCTGTGTCTAGGGGACGGTTTGGAAACTCAAGTGCACGACTCAAGGTGTCTGCCCTGGCCACCTGCTGGGATCACATGCTGCCCTACATGAGTGGCTGCTTGTACAACAGCTGTCCCTACACAGTGAAAGGTGTAGGGGGCAAGTGGAGCTCCTCCTCCACCAAAGTGTGTTTTTTGACTCAAGGTCTGGCATAGAAGCTACGAGTAAATGGTAGAGTAGAACCTGCCAACTCTGTTAAATATAGCTGCACTGGTGTCCCCTTGCAAAGAGAACAACTCTGGACACCCAGCCCTTCCTCCCCTTCCCTTGCTCTAAAAGCTTTGCACTGGCCAATTCATGGAACACTTTAGTAAGTAAAATGCTGTCACCTACTTCCGTCTATCCCGTATCCCTCCGCAGACCCACAGGACTGCGTGGAGAACCCAGGGCTACCGTTGTTAGCCACAGGAGTCTACGTGGGATCTCAGCTCACGTCCCACTCTCTGCAGCTGCTCTGCCTCTACCCTGAGCCTGCACAACTCGCAGCAAAGTGCTGGCCCCTGAAACCCTAGGAAATGAATAAACAGCACTTCCTCCTGTCAGCTGTGGTGTGACTCCTTGCCTCACCTTTAGTTCTGCGTCTCTGACTTCCTCATCTTTTATCTTTTTTAGCCATCCAGTCAAAGCTGAGTGTCCTTTTCCTCTGTGACCAAAACCTTCTCTTCCCACAATCATGCAAACTCTCAGTTCCTGCATTTCCCAGACCACGTCCAGCCATAATTCCCTCTTCTCTTGACGTGACTCCCGTGGTCAGCATTGTTCATGGTGGAACCAGGTATCTCTCCTGATCATTCAAATTAGTTTACCCAGTCTTTTACAGCCCAGACCAAAGCCTATGCATCCTGTATCCCCAGGACTGTGATATATTTGAAGGCTAGACTCACTGAATCTGCATTTTACAATTATGCTGACACCCATCTGAATTTGAACCTTTGCAAGAAAAAGTCAAGACTAAAGATAGAGAAACTTCCCCGAAGTTCAAGGAATGATTAGATCAGCAATAAGGCCAAGAGTGTCTCCATGACAAAAGGACATGTTAAAGTCTACACACCGTCCCCCCACTCAACATTTGTCTACATTAAACCCAGGACACCATGGTTTGAACCAGTACTTCAGGAGGTGCTGCGCTTCCCAAAGCCCAAAAGGTCTGATAATAGCAAAGTCACTCTCGCTGACTATGGAAGTGGATAACGTGAATGAGTCCGGGACCACTACTTACGCCTTCACCAACATGAAAGAGTACTTCCACATTACTGAGTCAGGACACTCCACCAGCTATGGGAGAAGCTGGCAGGGGACAGCATTGGACAGAATTTATGTAGGTACCCCAACTACATCAAACCAAAAGGCTGATACAGGATATTAAATGGGCCCCATCAGTTATCCCAGCAGCAATGATTACAATCAGAGGCATTATCCACAAAGAAATAAACAAAACAGGGCCTGGAGCAAAGAATTCACATTAGAGTGACTGACTTCTTGTCACGTGTGATGACTGGAGCTGAAAATAATCTCAGCTGCAACACTGGTAGGAGCACAAATAATTAAATATGTCCATAAAATGCATGTGCTAATATGCAAATATTTTATACACATTATAAACACACACCAGAACTTTGTAAAGATCGAGATGGGAACAGGCATTCTAAAACACCCTCCCCACCTGCAAGGGACTCGAAGCACAATGCTTGGTATCTACCAGAGCTATTGCTTTAAAACACTTATAAAAGTGCAGAGTCAAAGGCAATTACTGTAATTATCTGGAAAACTCCTGAATTACTTTCTTCTCCTTGCTGAAGCAGATATGTCCTTAATACAGGCTACAGCAAACCCATTAAGATTCTGACAGTAATAAGTCAGAGAATGGAAAATGCATAAAAAAAAATCTTGGAACTTTTACCCTGAGAGTGACAAGAAGCTACAAGGTATAAATGACCCGAGCAGAGTTGGTTTTGTTTTTTATCTACACCATGTTCCCTGCAATTGTGATTTATAGGCTCTGTGTTTTAACCACCACCACCACCACCCCCCACCACAGTTTCTGGCCACAGGAAGGGACAGCAGTCATTAAAACCCTGTCACATAAATAGTCACTTACCAGCTCACGTGGAAAGTGTGGTGTTGGGTGAGTAGTAAAGAACACCAATTTTATTTTCCTCACTTCTTGTAAACTCCTGAGGAAGGGGTAAGTGTTCTGAACACTCACCCTTTAATTATCCACACAAGCAGATCAAAGAGCTGTAGAGAAGTCCAATGACTAATTAAAAAACTTTTAGAATCAGCTTTGTGGTGAGTTCGTATACCCATAGGCATCTTCTCTTCTTAAATGACAACACAGAGGGCACCCACCAGAAAAATGGTGGAGCAGAGCAGTCGGGTACATGGGCTCAAGGTGGAGGGAGCGAGGCTTAAGCACTGGCTTCAGTGGAAACTGACTGGCTGAATGACTCCCAGCGAGTTATTTAATCTCCACAGTTTCATCCCCTCATCTGAGAAATGAAGGGAAAGGAAGCTTGACTAAACACACACACAGAGAGGCTGAAACGTCACAGGGCATCTGAGGGCTCCACCTATGCTGGGTAAGTGCTTAATAAACACCTATGACAGTTGTTGGGAAGTTCAGGGCTGATGGAAATCGGCAAGGAAGAGAGAAAGATATAAGTAGAGTCACGGACATTGCTAAGAATGAAAAAGTCACTTTAAGGCTGCTTTTGTGATCACCATGATTTTAAACCCAGAAGAGTTCTCCCCCATTTCAGGGCACCTAGCTACCTGCAATGAAGACAGGAAACCTCCATAGTGGAGGCAACTAGGGTTACCTGGCGCAGCTGAGAAGTTGGAAGTCATACGTTACCTGTGCCCAGTGGTTTTTAAATACGATCATGCATGTTTCTGGATCAACTCCCTGCAGGCTCACAGCCTGCTGGAGTTTGCTTTCTGTTGCAACCGATGACATCATAAACCTTCATAGATCAAGGCTTCTACGTCATATTTCACATTCACAAAAATCTGGCAAGCAGTCACTAACTTTCAAAGTTCACATTAGAGATGTAACTTGCTTGTATTTCATTATCATCTTCCAAAACCTGCAATGACAATAACAAAGAATGTGTGTCATGAGGTTCATCTACTGAACGGGACACTACATTAAAATCAAAATATAGACAGACTCAAAGTCCACCACAGAAGAACACACATACAAAATAGATGTTGCAACTCAACCTAAAGGCTTTCCTGTCTCCTCCCACCGTGCTAAGAAATGTTTAAAGTAATAATGCCACCAAAGTTAGAGTCAAAGATCAAATAATTACTTGGCTTTTTCTCTTTTCTACTTCCAGTCACAACTCCCTAGATTAAATGATAAATCATTCCAGTCTACTTTCTATAACCAAGCAAGAAACTATGATGCCAATGTCTGTGATATTTAAAAACACTCAGAAGTAGGAGAAATTACTTAGTAGTGACAGAAATAAATGTCTTGATACAACTTGAGATAGTTGTAAAACAACACCCAGACACCTGGGTTCAACATTATTGGATTTTTTTTTTTTAATCAATGACTCATAATGGAACCGAAAGCATTCTCAGTCATTTTGGGGCTACCAACTAAGTTAAGCTTTCTAGCTTTTCTGAAAAATAACAGAATTCCAAGTAACCTTGACAAATCAGAGATAGAAATGATCCAGCAAAACCAAGATAGCACTGCCTAGGTGTGAGTACAGGCAGCGCACTTACAGAGGAAAATGAATTATGCGGGCAGTGTGTGACGAAGCCTGGCTACGACAGAGACTACTACAGAGAGCCACTGAGGTTGCAGGTGAGCGGTGAATGGCGCCCAGGGGCACGGTGCTGGCTCCAGCTGATGCAGCAAGACTGTGGCATTATCTTATCAGCTCCATGAGCCCAAAGCAAGGACTGGGTACAGTTCTAAATGGTATTTTTTAGTGGACAGATTAGACAGAGTTCAGAGAAAAGCTATACATTATAATTATCAGCAGGCAGGGAAACAAAATCCATGACAAAAGTTAAGGAAGAAGAACAACAGTTTCCAACTGGGATGTTAAGGGCTGAAAGGGGACACTGGGCAGCTGTTCCTCCCGAAAACAATAGAGGATAGGGAAGGTGATGAGTCACATTGGATTTATGCATCAATTCTTTGTGGGGAGAGGAATTAAACACTGCAAAATGGCTAAGGGATATTCAAAACAAGTACTCCAGGAGGCCAACCAGTGCATCAATAAAGGACCTTTAAAATAATAAAATTTAACAATTCTGAGGCAAGAAACATTTTTTTATAGTGAACAAAGGAGGGTGTGTGTGGCCTGTTACCCAGATGCTATAATGATAATGAGGAGAACCAAAGGGTTTCTGCTTTACCCTTGAGGTAGATAAAGTCACAGACCCCTTGAGATTCCAAAGGCACCAACATACGTTATGCCAATTTCTTCTCCCTCAAAACCAGAAAAATGCTGTCTGAGACCTGGTCCGTTAGTTCCCACGAGGACTACACATTCGATCTTGTCAGACAGAGAATGCAGTGCACACAGGATAAATACCTCAGCTGAGGTCAAAAACTTACAAGTTAGTTTTGTTCTCCAATTAATTAATTAATGTATTTTTTTTTTACAGTGTTTGCTTTCTTTGTGTAGTCCCCATAGACAGAAAATACGTCTCTTGATTCCCCGGCCAGTGTTCTTCCCAGAAGACTATGTCCTCCTTTCTCCTGGCTATCCTCCCTGCCCCTATTCCTTTCAGGAGTCTGTATCCTCCCGGAAAAAACAGCAACACATTTGGCAGACAGCTCTCTAGTCTCGCTTCCGTGGCATCTGCCTGAAGAATCTAACTGTGCCATCAACACAGAAACTACCACAGAAAGAAAACTTGAGGGAAGGAGTGTCAGACATGTCAAGCCAGCCAGGACTGAGAGGGGAAAGACCATGCCAGAAGATCCTATACATGAAAACACCACTCAACATACCCTCTCTTAATCCCACACTAGACCCCCCACGCACACCCAGGGCCCTGTGACACTTTGGACTCAGATTCGCTCCAGATGTGCGAGAGGCTTAAAGGGATGCAGTTCCTCAGGCAACAGGTTTACCACACAACTCAGCACTGTCCTGTTAGCAGTCTTTATTCTTTTCCTATTCCAGGCTTCTGAGAGATCTAACCTCCGGTCTCTTCCCATAAGTAAGCACATGCCCAGGGACTCAAATGCCGAGCCCCAGAGAAAGTTCCCTGTTCAGATCCTATTGAGAATTTTTTTCCTTCTCCAAACAAACCCCTGCCAACAAAAAGATTTCCAACAGATTCTTCTTCCAAGAGTAGCTATATGTGCTACTGTGGCGTGGTTGTTGAGATTTGAGGGGAATTTGTGGATGGCACACTGGTGCTTTTGCAGATTCTATACTACGGAGCCAGACTCACCATTTTATTTCCAAAAACATTATTCTGAAATTGCATTCCTGTAGCTCACTAATATTGACCAAAAAGTGTTTTTCATCAATGAGGAAAAAAGCTTAGTTAAATATTGCTGGAGACAGAAAACTAACCTGAGATTTAGTTTTGTTTTTTTAAAGAATTAAGCAAAGCCTTTTACTAAAAAAAAAAAAAAAAAAAAAAAATTAAATTTAAAAAAGTATTTTATTTATCTGCTTTTTGAAAGTATATTTTTATTTGATCATGAAAAAATTATAAGCATATGCCTTCATCTCATACAACCATAAAACAATTATGGAATCAGAGAAGTTTAGATTCTCTGCTCCTCTAGATTCACGCCTCTTCCCAATATAAAAATGCTTTCAATTTCCTTCCCAAATTGATAGAAGCGTTAGCTGATTTTGGACTCTTTGAAAGCTACAATACTTATAAATGTGTCAAAATTTCAGTTTTTTAATGAATAATCAATGATTATTATATCTATATTGATGGATCTATTTTAATATATCCTTTCAGTATCAAATTGAACTTACATGGTAAACATTCTGGCATTAAGCTATATTTCATCTCATACCCCTTTATCTCTTTCATCTATTTAAACATAATCATCTCTAACAATAGATTATAAAAGAAAAATTTCCTAGGGGAAAGAAATGTATAGTCACCTTACAGGATTATGAAGCTAAAGGGGTATTTTTATTAAGGAAAATGTGACCTAACAGAGAGGAACAAATGAACGCTGAAAACTGAGGATTCAGGGCCCTCCCTGGTGGCACAGAGGGTTGAAGCCCAGTACTGCAGGTGAGTCACAGCCGCTTCAGTGCAAGTTCAATCCCCACCCCAGAGGTGACCCACAGGGCTCGGCAGACCTCTCCTGGCCCTCCCGCTGCTCCCCTCAGCAGTGTACTTCATCGATCTGCCAGTTCTGCTCCTCAATCTGTATCTGGTGAATCCTCTCGTCACCTCTGCATCTCTGACCTGCACCCAGTTCTGTATTCATAAATAATCTTAAAAAAAGAAAAAAAAAGAATTTTGATGGAGCAAGAGGAGCAGAAGACAGGTAAAGCCAAGAACATGGGTAGAGGGTTGAAAATAAGCAGGCCAAGCTGAGTCTTTCCACAGTGAGCTACCAAGTCAGAAGTACACCATCCACTTGATGGAAGCTGGCTTCCTTCCAGCCTCGGCCTCCTGCATTCTCTGGTTGCATTGTTGTCATGGTTACAGAATTTAAGTGGACTTAAAGTGGGGAGCACAGGATAAGGGCTAAGAACTTTTAACTAAGTTCTCTACCCTGGATATTGAGAAGCGGAAAGTCCTGACCTGGGACTTGGGGGCTGGAGCTCCGACCTGGGAGTCAGGGCCCTGGGGTTCTTACTCCAGCGTGGAGGAGCTGGGACCCGGCATAAAACACAGGGCTCTTGGTTTGGAAACTTACTTAGAGAGTTAAGAGCAAATGACAATTTCTTAGGTTACTCCAGCCCCAAAGTTCTTATTTTAGGTATTTCCTTGAGACTGTTCTCCTCAGCAGGAAAGGCAGTCACGCTCAGAAAGAAGGCAATGGGTGTACAGGTGTCTTTGTGGGACTCCGGCTGAAAAATGAGATTCTCTCTCTATTTGCTTTACAATTAGAACTTATCTCACTTAAGGAACCAAGGCACAGGAAGCAGCCATCTCAAATCTATCTCATGACTGAGTTGCTGCTACTGCTTTTCCTGAACAACTGCTAGTATAAAACCTCCATATTTTAGAATGCACTTTGGAAGGCCCTGAATTGGCTACTACTGAATACATTAAAATCTACAACGGAAAATGTGCTTACCAGGCCAAATTCCATCTAAGGGTGAAGACTCTTCAAATACTGAGAATACTTGAAGAGAGGAGAACCTTGTGCCCTCAATTATCACTAACAGCAGTGAGGGGGTTAGGGGGGGAGAGAAGGAGGTTCATTTTGGGTAGCACTACCTCAAACAACCCCTACGTAGAACCTAATAAATCCTATTAAATCTAAATCCTCCCTGGGCTCTAATCCTCTGGCCCAGTTCCTTTTCTCTCTCCTGTCCTATCACATGGCAACACTGGGCTGTGAAAAGCAAAGCGAGCAGCTAATAGCTGACTCCCCCGGACCTTGTCCAAAGCCTCCCTCAACTGGTCATGGCTGGACCCAAGTGCCTTCATGATCCACTACCCCTCATCCAAGTCAAACAGTGTCTTGCTGTCCCCACCAGGCTATAGGTCTCCAGTTAACACAGAGCATGCACAAAGGAAATTTTTGCTCCCCAGACATATATTCCTGTTGAGTTCAGGCTTGAGATACATAAGCGGATTCCAACAAGAAAACTGCTAATAAAATCATGAAATAATTCCACCATGTTTAACATCTTAATTTCACTGGAACAAGCTGCCAACTAGGTCATACCCACGTGTTATGTAAGTGACTAATAAACAGAATAAATGAAGAAAAAATTAATATTCAAATTCATGGCTGAAATTTGCTTGGGAATTTCATTTTTCAGGCTAACG